CTTGCTTTGAAATTTGTGTCACTTACATTGTTTTCTTCTGATCTGTTTTGTTCTGTTTTGTTTTACCTTCTTTAAAATAAAAAAAAAATTTTTAAATAAAATAAAAAAACAAGGGCCAGGGATTTAGCTCAGTGGCATAAACACCTGCCTGGCAAGTACAAGGTCATGAGTTTGATCCCTGGCACCAAAAAAAAAAAAAAAAATAAAAAATAAAAATAAAATTGCTGCAGATACCTTCAGACATAGTAAAAATCAAACAAAACAGAACAGAGAACCAATAAAAACAAAACAATGAATGCAGTAAAGGACTTCAAAACAAGACAACAGGAATCCAAAATGGCTACCATAATATGTCTTATCTTTGAAACAGCTGCCCGTGCCATCAGATATAATAAAGTCAAACAAAAACAAAACAGAATGAAACCCAGCCCAATGAAACAATGAAAATGATACAGGATTCAAAACAAGATAATAGGGAATTAACAATGGCTCCCACCTTCAGAAGGAGATCTCATAGATGCTACAGAGTACATTATTATCCTTTGAATGGATGATCGACCACCGGCTTTAGACCTGCAAGGTTAGTGAAAGACCAAACACGAAAGCAGTAAACTGTATTTTACCTCAATAGCTATCATCACAGCCTGTGTTTCTCTGCATCTATTGGTTGCTTACGGTGGAGACTGGGGGCAACTGGTTCTTCTTGATTCCTAGCCTGAACACCAGAAGGGGCTGGAGTCTGGCTGTCCCCAAGTGGCCCATGCATGGCACTGATTTGCAGGGAGGGCTTGCTTCTTGGTGACTTCTTGTTCTCTTCCCCCATAGCCTGCGAATGGCTGGAATAGTATTTTTTAACAATAAAGCTCTCCTCGAAAAACTGAGCTCTGAGATCTTCATCAGTGGAGAGAATCCCAGACAGCCAGTCAGGAGAAGGGTAAAACAGTCAGAAATATATATCAAATGTGCCCCCTCCCAGAGAGGGCTTTACCCAGCGTCACAGATAGATACTTTCCATGAGGGAAGGCTCCTGCGCTAGTTTAGATCTTGACCGTCCACCAAGACTGGCTTGGTGGTCAGTCTAGGGCACCGGTGGGAAGTGTTGGAACCTTTGAAGGTGGAGCATAGAGGATGGAAATCAGATCTTTAGCAGCTGCCCTTGAAGGGGACATTAGGAGTTTGGCTGCTTCCTTCTCTCTTGCTGCCACAAGATGAAGAGCTGTTTTCTGCCTCGTGTTGCCATCATGATTTTCTGTCTTCCCACAGACTAAAAAGCAGCAGGCCAATCAACCATAGAATGCCAAAACCTTTCCTCCTTCTAAGTTGATGTCCTCAGGTACTTTGTCACAGTAATGGGGGAGCTAACCTGTCTCCTATCCACTCCCTTGATCTCATAAACTCTAAATACCTTGTAGGTGTTGGTATTTGTGAGACATTTGTCCTAACTAATCACTTACACTCATTTTTCAGAAAGTAAAACCCTATCTTTAAAGTCCATACCTTGAATGGTGTCAAGGTCTTTTGAACCCAGTTTTATTACCGTCCTAGATAGTACTTCTCTACTTATTTGTAGAGAAGTACTCGTATTTGTATAGCTGCTATTCGATTAAAAAGTCATTCTACAGACATGTATTGAGAAATAGCTCAAGCCCACAGGCGCTAGAGAAATCTGGACATTCCAAGCATGACTTTGGTGTTCACAGGGAACTGCTGGGCAGGGACATTGTGCAGATAAGATTCAGCTGGCTGTTTCATTCCCAAAGAACCTAGGCTTGCTCACTTCACCTTTGGACATGAAATATGTGCTCTACGGACCCGTGAAGCCAGAATTTAGTCACATTCCCCAGTCCTCTCTGAAAGGCACATCTGTCTACCTTGAAGGGCCTGGTCTGTTCTCCTGTCTCTGGATCCAGACGTCTGCCTTTGTTCATAACTGTGATGGCCTATAGAGTGTCTAAGTAGCAGACCACCCCTACATCTCAAAGGCCTAAAATAACAGAAGCTTCCATCTCGCTCTTGCCTCATGGTTACCAGTGTTAACTGTGGGGAAAGGAGATGCATAAAACTCGGGAACCCAGGATGACGGAGCAGCCACAGTCTTTATAAATGAATATGGAGAAATACATGCTAACTCCAAGTGCCCACTGTGAATTCCTCCTGTTCACAGCTTCCTGGTCCAAGCAGGTCACATGGCCACACCTAACGTAATTAGAAAGGGGTATACAATCCTCCCAAGACACTGGGAGTGAGCCCAAATATTTGTAAAACTCTTGAACTGTGCTCTCACCAGGCCTCTCCAGTCCTACACTGAAAGCCCTTTACTCTTCAGCAACCATGACTGATAATTCATATGTTCTTGAGTTCGTTCTGCACTGAGAGAGAAGCCAAGAAGCTAGTTCATCAGTGCCTACTATGCTATAATGCTTCAGCCCTGGTTAGTCTCTAGATCTGTCCTTCAGTCATGGCCAGACAGCTGGGAAGGAGAGACAGACACTGCACTGCAGGGCTATGCAATCCACCTCCTGGTCCTCAGACTAGGAGGCCTGTTCAAGACAAAAGAATTTGTGGTTTAGGTCATGATGTTTGGCTGGCCTTTCAAGACAAAAACTCACACATTGTACAGTCCATGAAATTGGGTTGGGTCTAGCTGGCTATCAGGTTATCCATGAGATCGAATCTCAACAGGGGTGAAATGGACATGACTGAACTCACGTGTTCCTCCCGCAGTACAGGGCTCCCTGGTAGGGTTCCAAAGGGTTTAAAAAGTTAGCTCTCCATGGCTCCATTTCCATTCTTGGACACCACAGGCTTCACCCTCTGGACAGAGCTCTGGACAGGGCGGCTATAAGCCTAATAAGAGGCAAGAGGTGAAAGGAAGAGAAACTGATGGCTTCGAACCATACAATAAAGCCTGAACTGCAGGACCTGGAATTGTGGGCCCCTCACCGTATGGCCACCAGTTTCCTAGCCTCTAACCCTGCTGCTCAGCCATCATCAAACATTGTTTTCTTCCCTTAGCTCATTGGCAGCCCCCTTCTCACCTACTGCTATGCTTCCCTCTAACCTCAGTCTTAAAGCCACCAAATTTTCAGAGAAGCGTTTGGAGTTTGCTCTGACTCACTCACTTTCTTTTCTTCTTTCTCTGAATTCTTTTACCTTTGCTCATGCTGAACACCAGAGGATGTGGATCTGTTACTGATCTTTGGATTCCAAAGACTAGTACCAGCCTGGTATATAGCGGCTGCTCGATAATGATATTTAAAGAATTATGTGTAGCCCTGGCTCATTTAAACTTCTCAGCGAAGGCAGGTGCAGGGAAAGGAAAAAGTCAGTAAGACACAGTCCCTCAGGAATTTCTCTTCATGAAGGAGCCCTAAAAGTGAACTCTGAAATGAGGTCAGCTACCTCACCTGACTTAAGAGAAAACTGAGGCTTAGAGAGACTGAGGCTGCGCTGTAAGAAAGTAGCCAGGGCAAGTTTGGGCCTCAGGCTTTGACTGCTGAGTCCCTATCCGCAGCCCTCCACTAAGCAGGGAGCTGGGGGATGAGCTGGGCAGAGTCTGCACGTGGGTAAGTGGCCCAGAGGCCTGGCAAAGTGTCCACGCTGCAGGGGCTGAGTCAACAGGTGGTGATGAGAGTACACAGGGCCACACAGCCGCTAGACACATAGATCTAATGTTTGACCATTAGGTCTGATTATGTTTTCTTCCTGGGTAGTTGTATTCGTGCAGGAAACTTGATAAAATCCTGGAGAGGAATTTGATCATTCTCTGAAAAACTTACAAGTGGTTTGGCCTGCCTGATCAGCTCAAGTGAATATTCCAGGGAATATTCCATGTCCTTGTAGTGCAGGCTGTCAATTATTCTGTGGGGACTGGTAACAAGTCCCTCACCAACCCTACCTCAGCGGGTCTTGGGCCAGGGCTGGGGTCCTCACACTCTTACTTGGGAAAGGGAAAGTACAGGCTTCCACCCTCACGCCCACGCCCACAGCAGAAAGGAGTTGGGGAGCTGGAGACATCTCCCTGCCTTCAGAGCTCAGAAGGGCAGAGCGGACTGTGTTAGATCCCCAGGGTTGCAGCTGTGGACTTGCAAGGAGCCCGTGTTTTCTGGCAACCTGGCAGCTGAGTAGCTAACACGGGAAGCGGCTGAGTGCCTAAAATTAGTGCAAAGAAAGCAATAAAAAGTTAGCTCTGGGGGGGGGGTTCTGAGGGATCATTTGCCCCCTAAATTTAAATATGAGAAGAGCAGGCACAGCATTGATGTTTTGCTGGGCAAGGCCACCAGCGGCTGGTGACAGATCAGAGAACCCCTTAAACTCCGCCTATACCTACCCACCGATCCACACTTAGAACTAAATCAACCGAGTACTCGTCGAGTACTCGTCCGGAAAGTATTTGTCCCTCTCTGGGGGAAAGGTGCAGAAGACCATCCCGTTGTGTTGTCACAGCACAGCACTCACACACACTCCGAGTGACTCCATGCCTTCCTCCCAGCTCCCCTCTCTCTCCCCCAGTTGCCCCGTGGGTGACAGCTGGAAGGCTGCGTGCTCCCACGAAGGTACTGGGGGGCTGCGAGCGCACAGGCAGCTGCCAGGAGAGGGGTTGAGGTGAGCGCGCGCGGGGGTCCCAGTGGGGCGACGCCCGCCCACCACCTGCCCAGCGTAGGGCGGGGGCCCGGGACGCTAAGGGAGAGGTTAGCGCCGGCGCGGGTCCAGCGAGGCTCCGGCGCCCCGTCCCTGGCGGTGGGTTTGGAGAGAGGGCGGCCTCGCCCGGCCCCGCCTGGGCTGCTCGGGCCCCATATATAGTCATATGCGCCGTCCACTGGGAGGCCGGCGGCGGCGGCGAGGGGCGGGCGGACCCGCGGGAGGAGAGGCGGGAGGGGGCACGGGGCGGAGGCAGGCGCGGGGAGAGGGGGCAGGAGGAAGCGGCTTTTCCAAAAAAGTATTGGCTGTCTGGAGGAATGCGGTCGCCCCCTCGGGAAAGTACATATCTGGGAGCGGCGGGCGGCTCCGCGCTCGCACTCCGGCTCGGCCGCCCCTGCGCGCTCGCCTCCTCCCGCCGCTCACGCCGCCGCCTCCGGGCCCCTCGCCGCCGCCGCCGCCATGGACGCCATCAAGAAGAAGATGCAGATGCTGAAGCTCGACAAGGAGAACGCCTTGGACCGCGCGGAGCAGGCGGAGGCCGACAAGAAGGCGGCCGAGGACCGCAGCAAGCAGGTCCGCGCCTCCCCGGCTCCGCGCGCGCAGCGCCGCGCCGCGCCGCGCCGTCCCGGGAGCCCGGGCCGGAACCCGGCCGCCTGCCGCGCACTCCAGGGCCCCGGGCCACCCCGGGCCGGGCGCGCCGGGAAACCGGCGGGAGGGCACAGGGCGGGGACTCGCGCTGGCTCGCCAGCCTGCGGACGCTGCCTTTCCTTCTCTGCTGGCGTCCGCTCCAGGGCTTGAGTCTCAAGTCTGGGGGTCAGTTTTGGAAGAGGGAGGGGATCCCGGTTCCTGTGCACAGGAAGGGAGAAGAGGCCAGTCTGGGAAGTGATAGCCTTTAGACTTCTGACCGGTTCGAGAAAGACCCTGGACGTGGGACCGAAACTTGTAGGAAGGGGAGGGGGACCCTGGAGTTGGGACGGGAAGCCAGGGAGACAAGCGGCGCTTTTCTGCGCCCCGAAGTTGTGTCGCCCAGGGAAATGAGGGTAACGGGTGGGTAAAAGAGCCATCCCAGCTCTGGGAGACCGGAGGTTACCTAGGGTCCCTCGGACCCCAACTCAGCGGGATCTCCAACCCGAGGGGTCACAGCCAACCCGGGGTCCGTGTGTTGTGTGTGTGTGTCTGACACCCGGTCCGTGCCGGCCGCCCGCGCCCGCCCGCCGCCACCCTCAGCTGGAGGAGGACATCTCGGCCAAGGAGAAGCTGCTGCGGGCGTCGGAGGACGAGCGGGACCGGGTGCTGGAGGAGCTGCACAAGGCGGAGGACAGCCTCCTGGCCGCCGACGAGGCCGCCGCCAAGGTACCCGGGGCGCGCGGCACAGCACGGCGCACGAATGGCTAACTCTGTCTCTCTCTTTCTCTCTCTCCCTCCCTGTCTTTCCTTGTCTCTCTCTCCCGCCGACCCTGTCCTGTGGTCTGTGCACCCACACCCACACCCCCCTTGCGGGATCACGCTGCCTGCTGCACCCCACCCCCACCCCTTTCTCCATACCCCACACCCTACACCCCACGGCCAACTCCCAGCTGGAAGATGAGCTGGTGTCGCTTCAAAAGAAACTCAAGGGCACCGAAGATGAACTGGACAAATACTCTGAGGCTCTCAAAGATGCCCAGGAGAAACTGGAGCTGGCGGAGAAAAAGGCCACTGATGTAAGTGCACGCTCACCAAGCCTTCCTCACCCCCTGCCCGCGGCCACACGGGTCTCCAAGGGGGACCGCGAAGGAGGAGGGCCACCTGCACGCAGCTGCCATGGCCCAGAGCACTGGATGCGCCTCTGACTGCTGTTGCAAACATTCACGTTTCATTCCTCTTTCTCTTTTCCTCCTCTTACTGATCTGGTGGGGTGGAGGTGGGTGAGGGAGAGGCTGGGAGAAGAAGGGCCGAAATTCAACTCTCTAGAGCTGAACCTTGCCTCTTGGTGGCAGAAAAGCCCCAAGGCTTGTGTGTGTCATCATTACCAAGGTTTGTGCAAATCCATAATACTTAGTTTCTTTTAACTTGCTTTCTTTTTGCATCCCCATGGGTGGGAAGATCTGGTTTTTGGTGGTGGACCCAGGCAGAGTGGTTCTTCCGTAAGACCTCAGCTTCACAGGGCCGCACAGGGACCTTCTGAGGCTTCCTTCCTTGCTAAGGAAGCCTAGTCCAGCGCTTAAAATCTCCTGGGAAGATGATCCCTGCTAGGTCCGCAGTCTTAGGGCATGAGCTCCAGAAGCAAGCCCAGAGTTATATATAGCTCAGTGCTTTATATGGTATCCTCAGAGAGCTGCCCCCTGCCCCTCCTGCTTGCCCCACCCCCACCTGTCAGCCCTCTGACAACCACACATACTTGTAGGGGTGATGCAGACTGGCCCCGAGCTCTAGGAGCACCGTGGGCACTGTCCTTGGGAATCTTAAAGCCTTCCACTCCTGCCTCCGAGGCAGGCCGGATTACATTTCTAAAGGACCGACTGCTTTTCACACCGTTGAATTCCATTCTAGAAGCTAATTAAGCCTAGAGGCCCAATTAGAAAAGAATTCCTTGGGAAGTTGGTAACAATTCCAGGAATGTTTGAACACCAGGGAAAGCTTTGCCCAGAAGTTGAACTCCCAAGTGCAACAGCAGAATTTAAATGGGGAAAGGGGGCGGGGGAGTAAAATGCAAATTCCTGAAGGGTCTTCTCTCTTGAAATCAGTATAAGCTTTTTGTAGTATGGAAACTTTGAAATGGGTTTCCACGTGGTGTGCTTTGTAAATGAAAGATCTAGGCATTGGGTCCTTAGAATCTGATAAAAAGAAATTTTCAGTGAAAAGGAAGTTCCCTAGGAAAGGGATTTGGGTGAGCACTGATTTAGCTGAACCACTTACATTATAAGCTACCTGGCTTTACAGAAAAAGAGCCCCCTCCATAAAAACACACCCAAACCCTCACATACATAACTCTGAGCCTGCTTTGGATAATGCAGATCAGATGTCTGCTCTGTGAGGATGCCTGTCTCCCCCAAATTCTCCAGCAAGACGTTTATTTAGTTTTTTCAAAAGAGCTGTTGATAGATCAAGGAGAGATATTCCTTATAAGGAAAAGAATGCGGAGAATTTGAAAATAGCCCAGTAAGACTGAAGGCAAGGAGGAAAATGCTACTACAATTCATAAGGAGAAAAAGATGATCATTGTAACTGTGTAGCGGAGCAGTATGGCACCTTTATTGAAAAGTCTTGTGTAAGGGGACCTTTGGGTGGGGCAGAAAAGAGGCTATTTAAAATCAGCCGGGGTGGGGCCAGCAGGGGAGGGAGGTTCCTGAATCTCATGTTGGTTCTTTTTATCAACTAGAAATAAAGGGGCTGGGGTAAGCTTATTTTCTCCTCATATATATGTGTTTATATCTGTATGGATGAATATAAAAAGTTCTGCTGTATTGATCATCTTAACTTTAAGACCTAGTAAGTGGCTTGGAGACTCTAGTGGTTTCTTAACTTTAAGACCTACTAAGTGGTTGAAGGAGTTTGTAAAGAAAGTGACTACTGAATTAGTAAAGTAGTCAAGATTTGAGGAGAAAGAGGCGTTGCCAAAGGAGACACAGGAAAAGTCAGCTTCCTCTCATTATTCTGCAGCCTGTGTTTTTATATTTTTGTATTACTACTAAAAACATTTTTCTAGTTTACCAACATACTTTACAAATCCTGTATCCTAGCTTACAAAGTGGTCACTCAGGAGGCAGCATCTCTGGTGATTTCGTTTTGAAGTTTTTATTGGCTTTCCACCAGAGAGGCTGGCTGGGATCGCAGCGCAGGCTACGAGGTCTCTGGCCCCACCCCCTTCCCCTGTAATTGTGATGGTGATATTTGCATTACGGCTATCTTTATCCTCTGTGGCTCTTTATTTTCTAAATCAGCGATTCTCAACTTCTGTATCAACATAGTCACCCAGAGGGGTTTTAAAACGAACCCGGCCCAATTAAATCATAATCTTAGGGACTGAAGCCCAGGCAGTAGCATTTTTTTATTAACTAGATGATTCTAACTTGCAGCCACGCCTGCAAACAACTGTCCTAACTAAACTCTTGTGCAGTGACATCAGCTTGAAAATGAAGTCACCTAAAACTAAGTTCGCCAGGTGTTTGAAAAGCAGGACCTTGAGTCCCTCATTGGCAGCTGTGTCTGGCGGCTTCCGGCTTCGCCTGGAGGTTCCTGCGCGCTCGGGGGAGGAGCTGCGGGAGCCCGGGCGAACGGCTCCATCTGCTGGCGACCCGGGCTCACGCTGGGTTTGCGGGAGTACTCGCAGAAGCTTCTCTTACTCAAGTGAGTTAGGGAGCTCTTGTTAGGGCTCTGAAGGAGTGTGTTGGCAGGTGTGCTTTTGTTTTTCGTTTTTCCCACACTTAATATGTCAAAAACTGACTTGAAGGGTTGTGTGTGACGAGGAATAAGCCTGTGCCTAGGAAGCCTTAACAACGTAGCGCAAGGAGGGAGCAGGCAGAGGTCGGTCCCCAGCGGTCGCGGCCCCCAGGGTTTTCCCACTGGCACCTTTTAATAAAAGCATCCCAGACCTCCCAAAGCCAGGGAAAGTTGTAATCGGAAGGGACCTGAGATTGCGCAGCTGATGACCCAGACACTCAGAAGCCATGCCTAAGCGCTCGTTAATTACAGCTGTCTGCGGGTTAACTATTTTAAGGCATTGGAGAAAGTACCTTGTCAGTATTTCATGACTCTCGGAACAGCCTTGTGAACAGCACTAGTACTGTCTGTCATCTTTTTTGCAGAGGAAGCGCAGAGAAGTCGGTATCTGTGCAAAGTCCCGCAGCCAGCAGGAAGCTGGGAACCGGGTTCCAGCCTGGCAAGAGTGCAGCGGGGGCAGAAGGTCTAAGTGGGTCTGCGCCCTGGGTTTCAGTGTGCGAGAGTGCGGGGAGTTGTAGTGCCGGTGGGAGCGTGTGCCAGGGCTCTTCACCACGGGGAAGCTGTGCTCAGCTTCCCTCCCTCGGGCTGGGGCGTGAGGCGCGAGGCGCTTGCGGCCAGCAGGCGTCGCCGTTGCCCTTAGCAGCCAGGCCCGTTACCCAGGGCGCCGGGGTGGGGAGGCGGCTGGAAGCCTGGGTGACGTCCCAGCGCGGTGCCTCCCCGCCCGCGGCCCCCAGCCCGCAACCCCAGCGCCGCCGCCGCCGCTCTCCTGGAACCCGCGGCCGCGAGCATGCGCAGAGCCTCGGGCGGGCCGCGAGCTCTCGGGTCCGCACCGCGCCCCGCCCCACTGGCCGCACCCGCCCGCGGCTGCTCGGCGCCGCCCCGCAGGCCGTGACTTCCGGGCCGCAGCCGTCGCGGAGGGGCCTGGGCGAGCGCAGCAGCCGGCGTCCCCGCGCTGCCCGCTCGCCTCGCCTGGCCATGGCGGGGAGCAGCTCGCTGGAGGCCGTGCGCAGAAAGATCCGCAGCCTGCAGGAGCAGGCGGACGCGGCGGAGGAGCGCGCAGGCAGCCTGCAGCGCGAGCTGGACTACGAAAGGAAGCTGAGGGAGACCGTAAGGGATCCCCTGCTCCGGCGCCCCACTGGGAGGGCGTCCTGCCGAGCCGGGGCCCCCAGCCCCGCGCTGCCACCGCCGCGCACCTGGCGCACCTGGGCCAGCTGGCGCCAGCTCTGGGGAGGAGCCTTGTGCTTCGTCCTCTGCCGTGCTTTCTCCTTTCCGCCTGGCGGGTTAAAGTCATAGCTGCGTGGGGGTGGTGAGGGCGGTGTTGGAGCGGCTCTAAAAGCAGGGCTTTTCCAGGAAGGGCTTCACGTCCCGAGTGTTGGTGGTGAGTCACCCACCTGGCTGCGGGCTGCAGGTTGCAGGCTGCAGGCATTCTGGCCTCTCAGAGTGGGGAAGGAGGAGATCGCTCCTTTTGGAGTTCCCTCCATTCCGGGAGGAGACACTGCCCAGGGGAACTTCGGGGTCTGGGGATGCTAAGCTGCGCTGACCCCGGACCCTGTGTTTCTTCAAGGTGGTGAAGGCTGATGGCTCTGGGTGCTGGGGAGGAGCTAACTTACACCGAGTGCAACCCTGGTACCCCACCCTCCCTTAACAAGCCCTCTTCCCAAGTTCTCACGCTAGGAGATATTCCTTTGTTTCCCAGGCTTGGGGGAAGGAGGGGGGGAGTTGGCTAAATGTCAGCGGATACTGGGTGTATGCGCCTGCTGGCTCCCCTACCCCTTGCTCTGTGTGGTACCTGGCTCCCTTTCTCCTCATATGGCAAATATGTCCGCCAAATGGGAACGGGAATTCAAAGGGAGCCTCAGTATTGGGTATTTGTCACTTCTGAGTGTGTGTTTTAAATCAAGATGCTCAAAACCTAGGGGGTTTTATGGCAA